ATAAGGGCAGTCTCTGTAGAGTGGAGAGGGCGGAAGCCAGATTGAAGGGGGTCAAGAAGAGAGTTGGAATTGAGGAAATTAGACACACGGGTAAAGACGAGTCTTTCCAGAAGCTTTGAGGAAAAAGGGAGTAGGGATATGGGACGGTAGTTAGAGGGGGTGGACGGGTCAAGGGATGGTTTTTTTAGTATAGGTACTACAGTGGCATGCTTAAGGTCAGCAGGGACGATGCCAGAAGAGAGCGAGCAGTTGAAGATGTGTGTTAGAGAAGGCACGAGACACGCGGAGAGAGATCTGATAAGGTGAGACGGGACAGGATCGAGCGGGCAAGTGGTGGGGCGAGAGGAGCAAAGAAGAGCAGCCACCTCTTGGTCAGAAACATTTAAATACATAAAGGGAATCAACACAGTAAAGGAGGAGACTATATTTAAAAGAAGAAAAACTACCACAACAAGAGGACATAGTCATAAATTAGAGGGACAAAGGTTTAAAAATATCAGAAAGTATTACTTTACTGAGAGGGTAGTGGATGCATGGAATAGCCTTCCAGCTGAAGTGGTAGAGGTTAACACAGTAAAGGAGTTTAGCATGCGTGGGATAGGCATAAGGCTATCCTAGACTTAAAATAAGGCCAGGTGTTGAGAGTATTTAGAAACTTGGGCAGACTAGATGGGCCGAATGGTTCTTATCTGCTGCTGCCCGTTCTCAGCACTCTCTTCCGACCCATTTTTTTGCTCTCCACAAGTTTAAAGGGTAATCCAGACGTGAATCCCTTGCTCACGGTGCCTAGGGAGATACCAGCTATGCCTCACTGATGATGCCTAACAAGGCTGAAACGATTGTCTGGGGTTGCTGTGTCTCTCGTGCAGAGGGAACTTGCTGGCATTTCGGATCCGGACTGCCCGTATGGGTGGGACCAGTCTGATATGCTTCAGATATGTTCTCTCTGTAATGGCACAAGATGAGCAAATACCAGCTTGAGATCTGAGCGGGGACCTACCGAAGGGCAGGCTATTTCAGCTGCTGCCCGTTCTCAGAATACTCCTGCGACCCATTTTTTTGGTTCTTATCTGCCGTCACATTCTATGTTTCTATATACACACTATAACTGTCCAATGTACACACTGTGCTAATCCCGTCTGTCCCATATACACACTGTGCTAATCCCGTCTGTCCCATATACACACTATGCTAATCCTGTCTGTCCCATATACACGCTGTTCTAATCCCGTCCCATATACACGATGTGCTAATCCTGTCTGTCATATATACACGCTGTGCTAATCCTGTCTGTCCCATATACACGCTGTGCTAATCCTGTCCCATATACACGGTGTTCCAATCCTGTCCCATATACACGGTGTTCCAATCCTGTCCCATATACATGCGGTGCTAATCCCGTCCCATATACACGCTGTTCTAATCCCGTCCCATATACACGCTGTGCTAATCCCATCCCATATACATGCTGTGCTAATCCCGTCCCATATACACTCTGTGCTAATCCCGTCTGTCCCATATACACGCTGTGCTAATCCCGTCCCATATACACGCTGTTCTAATCCCGTCCCATATACACGCTGTTCTAATCCCTTCCGATATACATGCTGTGCTAATCCCGTCCCATATAAACGCTGTGCTAATCCCGTCCCATATACACGCTGTGCTAATCCCGTCCCATATACACGCTGTGCTAATCTCGTCTGTCCCATATACACGCTGTGCTAATCCCGTCTGTCCCATATGCACGCTGTGCTAATCCCGTCTGTCCCATATGCACGCTGTGCTAATCCCGTCCCATATACACGCTGTTCTAATCCTCGCTCGGGGGTTCACTGGGGGCCACAACAGATAGCTTTACCAAATTACCTGTGGGACCCTATTAAATCGGTAACCGGCCTGCAGGCCGGACTTTGGACAGGACTGCTGTAGCAGGAGTTCCTACATTCAGTGATCTACCTAGCTGATACATTGTGGACGGAACTGCATTGTTTTTTTACATTTTTTGATGTATTATTGCTCTACTTTATATACAATATGGACCTGGACAGATACTATCAGAAATTGGGTTATTGAACCAATTTGATTGCAGTATATCAGATCATTGTATCCTTTTTTTTGCATTTGTTTATTTTTATTATTTTATCTTTTACCCACTCCTGGTCGTTATACTTATATTTCTTAGCATTGGGTGGGTGCTTTCCCTTCACTAGTTGTAGTGGGTATTTTTTTTGTTGTTGTTATTTCTTTTGTGCCTTCTCTTATTCCTGAACTTTTGTTGATCAAGGGGATTCATTTGTCATATCTTCCAGGTTTTCAATATCTTCAGTTTTTGCATATGGCCATATTGTGTTAAACCCACCATTACCTTACAGTACCACAATAGCGATGGACCCTACACTAATTCCAATATGGGAGACAAATTCAACAGTGCTAGTGCTAAATGAGCTGAAGTGTATTTAAATAATCTATTGTAAGTGCATTGTAAATATATATATAATGCAAAATTAATGTGATAAACGCAATTAAAAAACTAAACAATTAAAGTGATATACTCACAATGAACATATCAAATATCTATTACACACCAAATGGAAATTATAATTAAAGTGACATTACTATCCAAACCACCTCAAATCTGTACTCTTCTTTGTTCACCTCCAAGGGGGCACCCGAAGCTGGGAGGGCATCGGTTGTGCATTATATATATTTGTGACAAACCCCCCTTCCCACCTGAGTTTGCCACAAGTTCCTGGAGGAGCCTGCTTGCCAGCCTCCTGCCCACAGACTAGGGCCCTGTAAGGAAACCTGTAAGACTGTAACCCTTTAAGGACCAAACGTCTGGAATTAAAGGGAATCATGACATGTCCTGTGTCCTTAAGTGGTTAACTGGCTTGTTAAGCCTAATTGATAGTTTGTAACACGTTCCACCGCAGTGTTCGAATTGTTTGTCTGGGTGGCCGCTGTTCGCATGAATGACCACGAGGTGGCTGCCATCTTGTTCACATGAACGCAGGCAGCGGTGTTTGGGCATGAATCTCATGGAACTAAAATCGGACACAGAAACTCCCAAACACCGCTGGACTTCCAGAATCGCCTGGATTCAGTTCTACACCCCTTAGAAGGGTGCTGTTCAGTGGAAACGTTTCCACGAACAAGGTGAACAAGCTCCAGGGTAAGACTATTGACTATGTTTGGTAGTTTGTTTGTTTTTAAACTACCAAACTAGACCGACCGCTAGCCCTGATTTCATGAAACTGTTTTGGGCATTGGACCATGTGGACGTTCAGTCAAATAATTGACTTCCATGAAAATCCTGAACCCCTGAACCGATATGGGTGATTTTTAGATATGTTGGTCTCCCAGATCGGTACTATCAGGGGATGTAACTGTTGTGGGGTTTCGTGTATTTTGGGGTGTTTTTTAAATTGTATATTTTTCTGTACCTGGAAATAATTGAGTTTGTACAGTTCTTGACTTAATTATCTCCTAGGCACAGGCGAGGGATTATCCTGTTTTGTGTGGGAGTGTCATGGGGGGGGTTTGACGGTGTCTAGAATTGAAAGAAAAAAAAAAACAGGCCATCGGGCCAGATTAAATGATTCCAGTTTGTACTCCCAGAACTGTGTGTCTTTTGGTTACTGAGAGGGGAAAGAGCTAATCACTACTCCAGCTTGTTCCAGTGTGAAGGACTGAACGGGGATAGTCCTTGTAAGGACTACAGCTCCCCAGTGTTGTCCAGTCCCTGGGAGTGGATAGAGCGAGTTCCCTCATTCGGTTCCAGGAAGGAGTGGTTCCAGAACCCCAGTCAAGTCACAGCGACTGTAGGCAGGAGTGCTGAGGTTTGTCCCCTGTTCCAGCTAGTAAGCTGTCCTTGGCAGAGGTACCCAGCCGGGGTACAGGTAGCTCCGTTACAATATTCTCTTACTATAGATTATTAAATAATCCACCCATCCATGTGCTAGCCCACACAGTGCCAGGCTCAGGCAGCACTGTGCAGATAGACCTTGCAATGCATCTCCTGATATATGTTGACTATAGTGATACTTTAATATAAAAGCAGGAAAGGCAGGTCCCCTAGCCTTCCTTCTTGCTTTTATATTAACTTCCCCTTATTAAAAAATGTTATAGAGTCCTTATTATAGCTCAAACTTACCTACGTTCCAGCGCCGAGATCCTCGTCGGGCCGCACCCTCCTTTTTTGGTAAAATTACGAAATAGCAGGGCTCAATCAGTCGCTTCATTCGCGCTGCAACAATCGTGCAACAAGAGTGCTGTACCGCGCATGATAGACAGCTCAGCTCGCTGTCTATGCCCGCCACCCTCCTACGGCAACCCTCCAGCCCAAACTGTGTGTGTTTGCATAGATACACTATATATAGAGATGTCTCTATATATAGTGTTTGTATACAAACACACACATTTTAAATAAATATTGTTAAACAAACACACACTCTCTCTATCCATCCACTTCTATTTATTTGTATCTATTTCTATATCTATCCATTTCTATCTATATCTATCTCTTTCCATCTATCCATTTCTAGCTTTCCATCTATCCATTTCTAGCTTTCCATCAATCTATTGCTATCTATCCATATCTATTTCTTTCTCTTTCCATTTCTATATCTCCCTCTTTCTATCCATTTCTTTCTATCCATCTATCTACTATTCTTATCTATTTTTATCTCTCTCTCTCTATCCATTTTGTGACGGACCACCTGGCACCCCGACTGGGTACCTCTGCCAATCGATGCTTCCTAGCTGATGCTGAGGACCATAAGCACCGCACCTGACACCATAAGCACAGTAGACCTCACAAACCGCAGCAGCTTGGTTGGGGTCTAGCCGCCCCTTCCCGTCCTGTACCAAACTCCTGGAACCAGGGACTCAGTGGGAAGGCCTCTCCTCCAAGAGAGAATAGCTATGAAGCGCTTATAAGAGCTAATGGTATAGCTGTATAGCAGGTTCCCTACAATCACGAGACAAGGCTACGTGTTGAGGGTTAAGCAGGAATGGTTTAATGGTAGCCACACTGGCCTTTTATGCAAGTTCCCAAGCAAGGGTAACACCCACATGGACCTTGTTGGGGACAGGGACACAAACATACACCAATGATAATCCCACATACAATACAATAAGCCTTCCCCTTAGGAGATAATTGAGTCAAGTACTATACTAAACTCAATTATCGCCATCACAAAAAACAACAACATTTTTACAAAATCCCCACAAATGTTACATCCCCCAATAGCCCTGATCTGGGTGACCAACATATCCAAAAATCACCCAGATCAGTTCAGGGGTTCAGAAATTTTATGGAAGTCATTTATTTGACCAACTGCAGGCATGGTCCCATGCCCAAAACAGTTCCAGAAAATTAGGGCTTGCGGTCGATCTAGTTTGGTAGTTTGAAAACTAAAACTACCGAACAGAGTCAATAGTCTTACCCCAGAGCTTGTTACCTTCATCCAGACGAATTATGTCACCGAACAGTGCCCACCTCAGCTTAATAGAAACGAACACAGGTGATGATGGAAGTCCAGCGGTGTTCGGGAGTTTCTGTATCCAATTTTAGTTCCAGGAGATTCGTGCCCAAACAACGCTGCCTGCATTCAGTGATTTAAACCAAGTCTTATCACCGGGGCAGTAGCCATGGGGTAAGAGGCTTTCAAGTATGCCCCCCCCAAGAACCTGTGACACACATTTCTATCTACCTATTTCCATCTATGTATCTATCCATTTCTGTGTATCTATTTCTATCTATCCATTTATTTGTATCTATTTCTATCTATTCATTTCTCTCTCTATCCATCCATCTTTCTATCTATCTCACACACACACTCTCACACACTAACTCACTCTTACTCACTCTCTCAATCACACACTCACTCTCAATTTTTTAAATAAGTTTACTTACTTTTTGAAGGTAGTAGCTCCTCCTGCTCTGTCGCCTGCCTTCTGTGCAGGAGATCGTCATCTCCCACACTGGGCTCTGATTGCTGACAGGCTCCGGGTTACTACAGGAGATAGGAGGCGCGTTCACAGTGCCTCCTGATAGCACGTTTGATGTCTTCATCCACGCGTGAAGACATTAAACGTGATAAATTCGACTTAGGCATTCATGAACCCGGAAGTCCCTCTGGTGGCAGTCTGAGTGACTGCCACTGAAGGTGTTCCTAGCTTCCAATGTAAACACTGTATTTTTTCAGAAAATACAGTGTTTACATGAGAAAGGCTGCAGGGAGCTAATATTCTCACCTGAACAACCTCATTAAGCTGAAGTTGTTCAGGTGACTATAGTGTCCCTTTAAAGTTTATATTATTAAAGGGACACTCCATGCTCCCATACACGTTAGGTGCATTGTGTAGGTTAGGTTACAGTTATACTGGGTGGGTTTAGATTATTAAAGGGACACTCCAGGCTCCCACACACGTTAGGTGCACTGTGTAGGTTAGGTTATAGTTAGTTATACTGGGTGGGTTTATATTATTAAAGGGACACTCCAGGCTCCCACACACGTTAGGTGCACTGTGTAGGTTAGATTACAGTTATACTAGGTGGGTTTATATTATCAAAGGGACACTCCAGGCTCCTACACACGTTAGATGCACTGTGTAGGTTAGGGTACAGTTAGTTATACTGGGTGAATTTATATTATTAAAGGGACACTCCATGCTCCCACACACGTTAGATGCACTGTGTAGGTTAGGTTACAGTTAGTTATACTGGGTGAATTTATATTATTAAAGGGACACTCCATGCTCCCACACACGTTAGATGCACTGTGTAGGTTAGGTTACAGTTAGTTATACTGGGTGGGTTTATATTATTAAAGGGACACTCCAGGCTCCCACACACGTTAGATGCACTGTGTAGGTTGGGTTACAGTTAGTTATACTGGGTGGGTTTATATTATTAAAGGGACACTCCAGGCTCCCACACACGTTAGATGCACTGTGTAGGTTAGGTTACAGTTAGTTATACTGGGTGGGTTTATATTATTAAAGAGACACTCCAGGCTCCCACACACGTTAGATGCACTGTGTAGGTTAGGCTACAGTTATACTGGGTGGGTTTATATTATTAAAGGGACACTTCAGGCTCCCACACACGTTAGATGCACTGTGTAGGTTAGGTTACAGTTAGTTATACTGGGTGGGTTTATATTATTAAAAGGGACACTCCAGGCTCCCACACACGTTAGCTGCACTGTGTAGGTTAGGTTACAGTTAGTTATACTGGGTGGGTTTATATTATTAAAGGGACACTCCAGGCTCCCACACACGTTAGATGCACTGTGTGGGTTAGGTTACAGTTAGTTATACTGGGTGGGTTTATATTATTAAAGGGACACTCCAGGCTCCCACACACGTTAGATGCACTGTGTAGGTTAGGTTACAGTTATACTGGGTGGGTTTATATTAATAAAGGGACACTCAAGGCTCCCACACACGTTAGATGCACTGTGTAGGTTAGGTTACAGTTAGTTATACTGGGTGGGTTTATATTATTAAAGGGACACTCCCAGGCTCCCACACACGTTAGATGCACTGTGTAGGTTAGGTTACAGTTAGTTATACTGGGTGGGTTTATATTATTAAAGGGACACTCCAGGCTCCCACACATGTTAGATGCACTGTGTAGGTTAGGTTACAGTTATACTGGGTGGGTTTATAACACTCCAGGCTCCCACACACACACGCACTAGGTGTTAATGCAGACATTCTACTTCCAACTTATCAGTTTTGTCCATATTTGAACAGCGTTGACAGGCTGGACGTGGTGTTTTACAGACCCAGCCAATGATTGCTGCTCAAAATATGGACGAAAATGTAATTGCTGATGTGGATTTCTTTAATAACCGCATGCCCAAAGACTTCCAGGGGAAAGTGAAGTAGGCTCTAGCGCTAAGTGTGGCCCCTTTAATATAATGTTTTGAAATCGCTGTGACATTACTCAGTGTATCCTCTGTAATATGGATTAAAGTGGAAGCAGTGACAGGAAGACCATGGCCAATGGATATAATAAAGACTGACAAACTTCATGAAGACAAGGAAGAGAGCCATGGAAATCTAAGGCCACACCGTTAGTCTGGGTGTAAAAAGCCCCCTACCTGCAATCTTTCTAAAAGATAATTGCTTGATAAACACAGTGGTTTCTATTTTTTATTTTAACTTCGTATTGTTGTTTCATGTATAGCAAGGTTAGTAGTTTAACCATTGGGATAAAAAGGATCTTATCGCCGTTCCATGATCTACTATATCACAGCATTCATTGAGAGGGGTTGGGACCCCCAGCCATGATCTATTGTATAACATCATTCACTGAGAGTGGTTCGGACCCCCAGCCATGATCTATTGTATAACATCATTCATGGAGAGGGGTTCGGATCCTCAAATCTACCATTTCCAGATAGAATTATTATGGTCTTACACAATGTACTAAGTAGGCTCTGGGCCTCCAGCCATAGGCCGCAAGTGAATGACATAATTTACTTAGAAGGGCCATTCATTTTAAGTGTGTATTCATGACAAATATAGTCTAGAACACTTAACAGTTGGATAGAAGTGTCCTAATGTAAGACAATTCTTGTAAAGTCATCAAACTATGAAAATTGCTAATAGACCGCAGTTACTGTGCTCTTCTTAGTTATTAATTTATCTCAATGTTCAATGCATTGTAACCTGAAGCAAGCAACCTTCTAAAATATTCTTAACCTCCTCTTAATGTATCATCCTGCTCCACAGGAGATTGGCTTAATGGAGGTGAGTGGAATGGCACTGCTGTGGACATAAGGAGACAAGCTAGAAGCAGATCAAGTTTGGCGTGATGGAATAACAAACAAAACACTGTCAATTTTCGGTGTGAACCCGTTTAAGGGCTGTCACAGTCTGTATTGGTCTGTAACATTTACAGCTACCCAGAACGTTCCCACTCCCAAGGCCGGAGGAGAAATCGATGAAATTAACAGCTCTCCAATCGGCCTTTAATATAAAGAAAGCTGAAATTCACAATGAAGGGATCCCCGATTGAATTTTTTTCCAGCACACGTATAGAGAGTTAATTCTGTGCGTGTTCTGATGCCGCAGAAATGTTGTGTTACACATGAAGCGTTTGCCACACTCTACACACATGTGCGGTTTCTTCTCCGTGTGGGCGAGCTCATGTTTAATAAGAAGGGAGTTCCGGCTGAAGTTTTTCCCACACTCTCGGCAGGTATGGGGCGATTTAGCCTGATGTATCTTGCGATGCCGCTGGAAATCCGAGCTGCGCAGGAAGCTTTTGTCGCATTCTTCGCAGGTGTAAGGCCGTTCCCCTGTGTGTGTCCGGTTGTGGATAACAAGGGTAGAGCTGCGGCTGAACCTCTTGCCGCAATCTAAGCAGATGTAGGGTTTCTCTCCACTGTGGATCCGTTGGTGGTTGACCAGATGGGGGTGCTGAATAAAGCTCCTTCCACACTCCAAGCACATGTATGGTTTCTCACCAGTGTGGGTCCTCATGTGCATGGTGAGGTAGGTGCAGCGGCTGAAGCATTTGCCACACTCTGAGCAGGTGTATGGCTTCTCCCCGGTGTGAGATCTCTGGTGGTTTTTATACTCTGAGATCTGGATGAACCTTTTCCCACAGTCATCGCACATATATGGACGTTCTCCTGTGTGGGTTTTCATGTGCCTCAAGTGAGCAGACTTACATGGACTTCCCTTGCCGCAGTCACCGCAGATGAAAGCATCTGATTTAGTCGGGGCCCTTCGGCGTTTTCTTGGAGGCTTCGTTATTTCTAGTTCCTTTGCTTTGATGCTCAGGTGGCCACTATTGGTCCCTTGTTTTTTGGACAACTCTATGTGTTTGGGTTCTTCAATAATTTTCTTCTCAATATTTAATGTTGGTTCTGGAGTCCTGAGGCAGGATTTTCTAGATTTCCTCATTCTGGGGGGCTTGGCTAACAATAATGATCGGAGATTCCTTCTGGAGCATGTAGAGAAGCCTTAAACACTGTCAGAATGATGCTATTTTATGGTGAGACCTACAAACACAAACAAATACATTATGAACAGGAATTACAACAAGAGGACGACATTGTCTGGTTTGTGATTGACCGATAGACAGGGACCTGCAGCAGGATGGATTATCTTACTAAATTAATATTTTATAAAGAGAGTATCAAGAGATATACAGGGATAACTATTTATCCTCCACCTGACCTGATTTTTTTTTTACTCAAGGCGGAGCTACTGAGTCAATCCCTGCAGCCGTCATCACATACTGTGGTTTTCGTGGTATCCCGCATAGACCTAATTGCTGTATTTTTACTCATGTGCAAGACTATAGCAATGGCATCGGGACCATAGAGGACCGAGCTGGATAGAGATCGCCCACAAAGAACAAGTTCAGGTAAGTAAATTTACCTTTACCTCCCCTTCCCCACGGGACCACCAGCAGCGATGTCACTGTCGGGGTACTTACAAATACAGTGCTGCTCCCAATACTCCTGGGCGGCAGCAATAATCATAGCACACATCAGCCCCAATACATACAGTAAAAACAAAAGGAAATAGCTACTTGCGCACTAGCCCAAATCCCTGTGTATATTTACATAACTGGAAGTGTTTAGTTACTCCAATGGCCATTAGATGTAAGCTCCCCTGCCACATCAATGCAAACCTCTTAGGTGAATCCTACACTAACAATTCACCTTGCTAAAACCCTACATACATATTAACCCTCAATAGGGAACACATGGGGTGAGTGGGAGCATTGTAATGGTCGTGTGATGCAAATAAAAACATTCCAAAATAAGTCCTGCACTCACACTCACACTACTCCTGGCCGGCAGTAATGACCATAGTAAACATCAGCCCTGTAACGGATCCTCTATACTTCGACTGAGTATATGCGTTGTAAGTCTCCCGAATCCCAAGGTGAAGCAGTGATTATAGCTCTGGTATACCCAAACATCAGCCAAGACTTGATGAAGGGTACAAGAATGTTTTATTATGGCCAGCTAATATACACAGACCCTCAGCATGGGGTCTCCATTCAGTTGTACAGTAAGCCAGCCCAGGCGCCTCTGTGACTGGGAGATAAGAGAGCTAGCTTTAGCACATGTAGCATGTGCCCAAATTAGTTCCTAAGAAATAGTGGTAGCGGTAGGTCACTTACAAGAGTTTAGAACCGAATAAACTGTCGAACGGTTCCCCGGGCGCATAGGTAGCTATTGTTCGCCTAGTTGGTGCGAACAAGCCTACTAAACAGAGCTGTCTTGTCGGGAAAAGAAGCAGGCGTCGACACAAGATGACGGAGGTTCGCACAAGGATGTATCCAGCTTTGAGTTCCATCCGCTTGATGACCAAGCACCGCTGCCTGTGTTCGTGTGACAAGATGGCTACCGTTTTCCACATCACGTGTTGTTCAGTTTTACGAACAGTGGCCACACAGGGAGAGCATTAAAGATTTGTGATTAGTTTGTAGTTAATGAGCCGGGGGCGGGATTGGTGGTCGGTGTTCGGTAGATTGGAGCTCCCAAACTGAGGAAACGTGAATGAGGTTCAGGGAACATAATATAAGAAATAGAAGGGAAATGTCTGGAGCACAGGGAAAATAGTGTTTGTCACAAGCCCCAACACATACCTCCAGTTATGGAAATATACACAGGGATTTGGGCTCGTGTGCAAGTAGCACTTTTCTTTGTATTGGGGCTGTGTACTATGGTCATTGCTGCCGCCCAGGAGTAGTGGGAGTTTGAGCGCAGGACTTGTTTTTGTATCACACAGTCATGTTACAATGCTGCTGCCCACCCCATGTGCTCTCTATTAAGGGTTATTAAGTATGTCTCTGTCTCAGAGTTTTTCTACCTGAAACTGAGAGAAGCAAGGTGAATTGTTAGTGTAGGGGTTTGTAAGAGGTTTGCCTTGACGTCGCAGGTGTGATTCCATCTAATGGCTACTGGAGTGATGCTAAAAACCTCCAGTTAAAGGACCACTATAGGCACCCAGACCACTTCAGCTCAATGAAGTGGTCTGGGTGCCTGTTCACTCTAGTTTTAACCGTACAGCTGCTATGTTCACTGAGGGTTAATCCAGCCTCTAGTCGCTGTCTAACTGACAGCCGCTAGAGGCCACTTCCGCGATTCTCACTGTGAAAATCACAGAGAGAAGATGCCAGCGTGCATAGGAAAGCACCGACTAATGCTTTCCTATGGGCGTTTAGAGAGTGCGCGTGGCTCTTGCAGTCATGCGTATTCGGAGCTGACGTCGGAAGAAGGAGGAGAGTTCCCCAGCACAGAGGGAGCCCGGCGCTGGATTGAGGTAAGTGGTTTTAACCCCTTCAGCCCAGCAAGAGGGGGGCACCTAATGACCCTATAGTGCCAAGAAAACAAGTTTGTTTTCCTGGCACTATAGTGGTCCTTTAAGTAAATCTGCACAGGGATTTGGGATAGCGCACAAGTAACTTCTTTGGTTACTGCTGAGGGACTTGGCAAATTCGGCTAAGTCCCCAAACGGTGACTGCGCTGCTTTAGTTTGTCAGTTTTCCAGAGGCAGGCTGGGAAATTCTGTCCATACTCCGTGATCCCTGGAAAGCAGAATAATCAAAATGAAATATTTAGGATTTTTGTCAAGTAAGACTGAAATCATGTAAAGCTTTCTATGCAATAAATGGAGACATCCATTAATTATGGGAGTGTGCTAGAAAGCCACCATGGTCACTATAACGCCATTTATAAATCGCCAACATATTCCACAGCGCAGTACCTTAATCCCTCTGTGTCTCATTCAGGTTTCTCAGCTAATTTTACACTAAAGTAACGCTCCAAGCACCATAACTACTGCGCCTATTCAGATACAGCGAGAGAGATTAGTAAACTAGCCTCTCTGGGGAGACTGAATCCAGCAGCAACCTTCCACCACTCACCCCAGAAACCTTCGCTGTACTCAGTGACCTAGGCAGGTAGAAATCCTTTGGGGTCCCAAACCGTGCCCCCCAGCACCCCCAAACCGAAAAAAACATCCGCAACCCTCAAACCAACCATCCCCCCCCAGCACCCCCAAACCCGAAAAAACATCATAGCCCTCAAACCATCCCCCCCAGCACCCCCAAAACCGTCTCCTCTCCCCCCAGCACCCCCAAACCGTCTCTCCCCTCCCCAGCACCCCAAACCGTCTCTCCCCCAGCACCCCCAAATACGTCTATCCCAGCACCCCAAACCAAGTCTCTCCCCCCTCAGCACCCCCAAACCGTCTCTCCCCCCCCTCAGCACCCCAAGCAGGTCTCTCCCCAGCACCCCAACCGTCTCTCCCCAACACCCCAAACCGTCTCTCCCAGCACTGACAAGTCTCCCCAACACCCCAAACCGTCTCCCCCCTCCAGCACCCCCCCCAAACCGTCTCTCCCCAAGCACCCCCAAACCGTCTCAGCACCCCAAACCAATCTCTCCCCCCAACACCCCAAACCGTCTCCCAAGCACCCCCAAACCGTCTCTCCCCGCCCCCCCAGCACCCCCAAGCCGTCTCTCCCCCCCCTCCACCACCCCAAACAAGTCTCTCCCCTCCGCACCCCAAACCAAGTCTCCCCCCCCCTCCACCCCAAACCATCTCCCCAAGCACCCAAACCATCTCTCCCCCAGCACCCCAAACCGTCTCCCCCAAGCACCCCAAACCGTCTCTCCCCGCCCCCCAGCACTGCCCCAAACCGTCTCTCCCCCCTCCGCCACCCCCAAACCGTCTCTCCCCCCCCCTCCGCACCCCAAACCGTCTCTCCCCCCCTCCCGCACCCCAAACCGTCTCCCCCAGCACCCCCAAACCGTCTCCCAGCACCCCCAAACCGTCTCCCCGGTTCTCTTACCCGGCCGGCTCCCAGCAGTGACAGAGCAGGCGGAGCCGCGCGGCATCCCGGGACACAGCGCGACTACCGGAACTACAACTCCCGGCAGCCCCCGCGCCAGAACCACTGCCGCCACCTCCGGGTCACCAGGGGTTAATCGGTGACAGAGAGAGGGGGGCTGGCCATCCGGGGGTTAATCGGTGACAGAGAGAGGGGGGCTGGCCATCCGGGGGTTAAT